CGCGGGTGTCGAGAGCAGGCGCCGAGCCCGGGAGGACTGGAAACGGGTTAGCATTAGCCCTGTTGGCGAGGGCTTCGTTGATCTTTTGTGCGACGATATCGCTAATTGCGGCCGCAGTGGCCGAGTCTAATGCAGGTGGCGCCGAAGGGCCGGCGAGCTCTTCGCTCGGCGGGACCGATGGCGGTACTTCTCCTGAAATTCCTAGCCGACGGGATCGGCCTAGGTAGTGCGTCGAACCTCCGAGCGGGCTGCACGGGGAATCGCTTCTCTCTTAGAGAAGCGGATGACTGGCTCTTCCGGTTCGCCTGCCTGCGCGCCGACGGCAGATAATGTACTGTACTACTACCACGCCGTCCTCTTGTCCACGTGTACAGCGTGCAATCGTTTCCAAGAGCAGGCGCGCAGGCATCGCGCGGCGTAGGTCGTTACATGGTGATCCGTGGATACCTGACCGTAATTTTGCTCCTACTCAATGGCATCGAAGGGCTCTGCAGACGAGACCGGAAACCAATCGGGATATCCCTGAGCAGGCATGCCGCCCTCATCTGCGCTGCTGCTGTTGCTTCTCCGCCAAGGAAGTAATACCAGGCGCTCCCTCACCTTCCGCACGATGTCCTCCTTCATATTCTCGACCGCATGACCCCCCGCCCAAACCACCCTCTTCTCCCAGTTGTGCACCAACCACTGACATGTGGGCCTCGCTCGCGCACCGTCATCTCGGCATCGCCCCAGCCCAGCACGCGCTTTAGGCCGCCGCCATCTCTTCGCTCACCACCTTCCTCGTGTCCTGCTGGTGCCCTGCCACCGGCGCCTTCGTCCCGGGCGTCCCTGTGCACTTCGGCAAGGGCTTTACCGAGGTCCACGCCCGCGGCGGCGTCGAGTGAGACGTTGCAGAGGACTCCGTCGCCGCCTACGTCTTGGGCCGCCACAAGGACGTCGCCGTCTCCGTCCCCGTCGTCACCATGCACTTCTTCCTTAAGGCCGCGAGTCCATTCCCCATGGAGCGCATGCCTCTGCGCCTCGTACACGTCTCCAAGACCGCGCCGCGCGATCCACCCGCCTTCCCGCCGTCGGCCCCACCACTGCTCGACACGCCCGACAGGCGCACGCGCGCGTCGTCGTCAATGGCTCGACACTGCTCGCGTGTGCCGTGTCCAGCGGCGATTGTGTGTGCGTGGTGGACGTGCACGTGCCGCCAGAGCTGCTGCTGGCCAAACCGCCGCTGCACACGATGGCCGTAGATTACGACCGCGCGTCGCGCGCGGCGTACTGGCTCAAGTCTGTCGACGTCGTGCCGTGCATCCTGCCGCTGCCCCCAATCGCCGATGACGCGTCGTGCTTCACACCGCACGTGCCGGACATGACGCCCTCGCGCCCGTGGGCATGCTGGCGGGAGCTGGAGAATGGGAGCTGGAGAATGGGGGCTGGAGGATGGGAGCTGGAGGATGGGAGCTGGAGGATAGAGGATGTTGGAGGCGGGAACGCGAAAGACAGAGATGCGCTTGTTGGCGGAGGATGCTACACTGCTTTGTCGCTCTCACTCCCGCTAAAAATGCGATTTTTGTATGTTGCACATTTGCCTCGTCCGTGGTCGAGCCCGCGATTTCGGGTTGTTTTTTCATTTTTGCTTTTTGCTTGTTTATTCATGCAGAAACTGAGAAACTTCATGATTCTTCATGAAGAAACGACTTTAGACAATGGAAGACACTGCATGGAGATGGGCTACAGGGACCCTAGGAAGGCATGAGGGATCTCGATTTCGATGGTTGATCGCAATTATCGGTGGGTCGCCTGAAGAAGGCCGAAGTGGTGATTTTTTCATTTTGCAGCTTTATCTGGCAGTTTTTGCGCGCAATTGCGCGCAAAAACATGATTTAATGAAATCGCGGGGTCGAGCCTATACCAGTTTTGTCATTTGTGCATACACAAATTACAGTGAATAGAGACTTTACGAAACCAAGAAATCACTAAATTGTGACTAATCCCGAGACGAGAAATGTTCATCACAATTTAGTGATTTTTTGTGCGCGGTTGTGGTTTACGAATTGACAAAAAATGGTCACTTTGCAGCACCGCTATGCCTCGTACTCAATACGAGCGTCCGAGTCTCATACCTTGCCAAGCAAGCGGCATTTTCAGCCCCGTCTTCCTAACCGTCATCCCCAGAATGCGCCAGCAGTCCTACACAAAAAGGGTTATGCAGCGCAAGGTACGTCGCTCCAGTAAACGACTCCGCTACTCTCTATGTAGTCTTTGGGTAGGTCTGTTACCTATGTACTTTGCAAGCCAAAAACGTCGTCTGCGCGTGGACCTTATGAAACTAATGCGCCGAACCGTAGCGATAAGCAGTATGACCTTCAATGTAAACACGTTCTCCAACCTTCGATGTCTTCAGGACTTTCGCTTCCGTCTGAAAGAAATACCGCAGATCTCAGACGCTATACGATGGAATACAGGAAGGACCAGCAGGTCTAGTTATAAATGTAGTGCCGTAACAGCGACTTGCAGTTTACTCCGAAGACTAGCGTATCCATGTAGGTGGGTCGATCTAGAATTGAAATTTGGAATGCACTCATCCGCCCTGAGTGAGATTTTCTGGGAAGCTATTGAAAGTTTGTATACCAAACGGAGCCATCTACTTACCACTTTTAGGTCAGACCTTCTTCAAGAGAGGGCCGTACAGTATGCAGCCGTTATCGAGGCGAGAGGTGCACCCCTTGATAATTGCGTTGGGTTTATAGATGGGACAAAAGTCCAGATGTGTAGACCAGGTGGGCCTGCTGTCAACCAAAGAAGTGTGTACTCAGGACATAAGCGCTTTCACTGTCTATTGTATCAGACGATAACGGCCCCCGACGGCCTTGTATATCATCTTTACGGGTCGGTGGAAGGGCGACGTCACGACATGACTCTATATAGACTGAGTGGGATGGAGGGATTCTTGTCTGACACCCCTCTCATAAATGGGAAGCAGTACTGCATTTATGGGGACGCGACGTATGCCCTGCGATCGTGGTTACAAGTTGGATTTCCAAATTTGTCGGCAACAGACGAGGAGCACTTATACAATGCATGTATGAGCGCGGTGCGGGAAGCAGTGGAATGGAATTATGAGGAGATCAAGCTTTACTTTACTTCTCAAGATATGAAATGGAGGCTGAAATGTAGGGAAGCACCTATAGCGCTGATGTATATATCGGCAGCTCTACTTGTCAACTTCAAAACTTGCCTCGGGCACAAGGGACAGATCGGTACATGGTTTGAATGCCAGGCCCCGTCACTCGCTGAATATGAGCTTTGCCAATCCTGACCCTCACGACGGAAATCATGATGAAGAAATGGAGAGGGAACGGGCTGCGTGCACGGGCCAGTCGCGGAGCAGGCCGTCGCCGCCGAACGGGACCTCGACATCGTCGAACTCGAAGCCCAGGTCGACTAGCGGGTCGTGCATAAAGCCCTTCCAGTACGGCGGCAGGTCCTTCGACAGCAGGCACCGCTTGTAACACGTCGGGCGCATGGTGACCTCCGTGGCGAACAGGAGGAGGCAGCTGGTGTACCACAGGACGATGAAGACGACAAACATGGCGAGCAGGAAGGTGAGCATGAAGCAGAGCGGGATGACCAGCGGCACGGCCAGCGTGGCGGCCATGCGGATGGGGGCGAAGAGCAGAGCAGGAGCGGTGACTGGATGAACTCGTCGACCTCTGCGCCGACTTGACGCTGCGTGGTCTGCAGGTGGGTTTGCCAGTGCGACAGCATGAGACGCCACTTGTCTGCGTCAAAATGGCGTGGCCTGCAGGCCACGGCCGCGCGCCATGGCGCGCGCGGAGCGCAGCACGGTGCGGTGCGGCGCGCTTTGCGGAGAGAGTGGATGGCCATGCACACGCCGGAGGCAGACGAGCGCAGTGGAGGTCCAGGGCGGTTACGCAGCCAGGCAGAAGGGCATGGGGCACGGGGTACTTGGCGGAGGACATCTCGAGGGGAGGCTGCTAGCATGGTGGCCGGCGGAAGGGGAGGGCTGGAGTCCGGGTCGGAGGGGAGAACTGGGAAAGGAGTAGATGTAGGAGGGAAGGGAGGGGGTTTCACGATATGCAGGAGGTTGTTGGAGGAGTAGAGGGGTGTTCCCAAGTGACGCTCCAAGCTTCAAGCAGCCAGGGAGACGTATACGAGTACAACATAATAGGGCGAGGATACGCTGGCAGATGTGCGCCGCTGGTTGCGCGAAGCTTCGGGGCGTGTAATGGACATAAGCGGCACAAATATTCGGTCGCTACGGGCTTCCAGGCAAGATACCGCTCCCCATGGCACCCCTCGTCTTCTCCACCACCGCCGCTTCACGCCAGCCATGTCCCGCGCGCTACAATCCCCACCTCTGACAGTCACGCGCGCGCGGCCTGCGTCTGCCGTCGCGCTTCCCGCGCTTCTTGCGGCGCGCCGCGCTCTTGCACGCCCCCGCCGCGCCGCACCCCGCACGATCCGCCACCTGGACGGCCCGTGCCTTCTAGTCCCCGTGCGCGCGTACGACGTGTCGCGCGGCCTCTGCGTCGTGCGCAGGCGCACCGCCCGCAGCGACGACTGCATCAGCTTCCGCGCAAGCCTGCCCAACATTGTCGTCGAGATCATCCGGCCCGACGCGGACTATATCGACTTGGACTTCGTCGCCCCCAGCGGCGAGGGGCTCTCCGTTTACGCTGCCTTCCAGACCGCCAGCGGACAGCGCCGTCCAGGCCGCCAGCGGACAGCTGCTCGCCGATAGTCGCGTCTCCGGGCCAGACCGCGCGCGGCCGCGAGGTCGCCTTCTTTGGAACCCGCCGGCTCGCGCGGAAGGGCACGAATGAGGTCGTTTTCAGGCACTTTGAATGGTGTTCAACGCGTCTTTTTTCGGGGTAAACGCGTGCGTTGTGTAACACATGTACGCCCCGGTGGCCAAGTTTGGGGTAAGTGGCGGGGGAGGGAGCGGGGCGTGGAAGGCGTAGAGAGACCTCACGGGTCCGGACCGGATGCGGGACTGCCGCGAAAGGGGGGGAGGGGGCGGGAGAAGAGAGGGATTGCATTTTAGCATATTGGGCGACTCCGAAAAACATAAATTGTGTACACACAAAATTTCCTTGTGTATGTGTGTCGTATTTTGTGCCTTGGCACGGAAATGCATGTGAACAAAAATTTGTGTAAGACACATTTAATGCCAATTCACCCTGAGTGAGGTGTCAGCACGCCGGCGGACGGATTGCGGTACCCCCTTCACGCCCTATCCTATGATACTGACGAAGGAGCCGCCGGCTTGGGGACAAATATCGGGTGCCGGCTCCTCGTCGGAGTCGGCAACATGAGCCATATAGACGTTGGGCTGCGGGGTTGGACAGCGGCTGATACGACGGAGGGAAAGTGTGAAGGGAGGCCAGATCGAAATAGGAATGAGGTTGCCCAGGGGTGGGATGGGTTGATCGGACAGATCGCAGAGAAATATTTGAGCACATGGTATGATATAGGGTGGTATAGGTGGGTGCGGATGTGCGTTTGTGTCTGTGCACAAACAATTACATCGGGAGGGGAACGAAGAGCAAATCGGCGGTTTGTGTATGCACAAACACCTCCGACTCAATCAAAATCGGCGGATTTGCGCATACACAAAATGTGTTTTTATGTTTTTCGGAGTCGCCCATTGTAGGGCGACAGATGACGTTGCGTGCAGCGTCCAATTCGCGTCTACACCGACCTGTCGCGCCGCGGTTGGCCGTTTCCGCTCGGCATCCTGCTTTCCTCATTGCTGTCGCCTCGTCTCTCTCCCCTCCCCAATCATCTCGCCCTCCATGCAATCCTTCTCCCCTGCGCCTGGGAATCACGTCTTACCGACACTCACTCCCCCGCACTACTTCAATCCCCCCTCTCCCCCCACCCCCCGTCACCCTCCGGGCATCTTCGCCCTCCGCTCCAGCATGCGTGCCCCGGACTACAAGCTCGGCTCCCCCTCTCGCGGAAAACCCTACCCAACCCCGCCTGCCCTCTCGCTACCACAAACCGTGGCACTTCGTCCTCCGCGTCGCGCGACCCCGTGCGCCGTGCGCCACATCTCCACTTCGTTCGCGGCCCCCACGGCCACAAGGTATTACACGTCGCCTCCGTCGTACTCGCACCCGCCCGTCCGCCACGGTCACACTCGAAATGTACTTGGCGTACGCGCATCGTTTCGCTTTTTTTGTGACGCGCATGAGGATGGAAAATGCAAACAGCATGATGACACTTAGAGAGAAAGCGCCGACGCCCTCATGTACCCGTCGTGTAGAGGTCGTGTAGAGGTAGGACAGTAACCCGCGTAGAGACGAAAAACATCGCCTCCGCCATTTTGTTTTATTCGTGTTGAGATGATATATCCTGAGTCCGTGTAGAATAAGTTGGGCGACATTGACGCGAAAATGGGGCTATTAAGTGGTTCAGAAGGCTTCAGAGAGAGGTGAGTGGCGCTACAAAGCGAACAGAGACGGCGCGGAGTCGTTTTGGCCAGTTTTCGAGCCATACCCCCAAGAACCCCAATCAATGCTTTGCGCTCGTCCAGTTCAAGCTTATCAGACTCTTTCTTCTTCTTCCTACCTTTTTCTTCTGCCTCGAAACGCCTTTCTTCTAGAGCTGTGCGTTTTTCGTCAACGTCAACCCGCCTTGCCTCGATCGACTCTATCCAAACTTGGTGTTCTGCATCGCGAATCCCCCTCTTCTGCTCTAACGATAAGCGCTCCTTCTGAAGAAGGCATTGTGCCGCGTCTGCTGCCTTCCGCAATTCCATATCCTTTTGGATCAACTCTAACTCCTCATCCGACTGGTTGTCGGCCATGGACCGTGGAGAAAGAGCCTTCTTTCGCCGTCGCTGTCGCTTGACTGCCGTTTCCCTAATATCTTCTCCTGCTTGTAAAATACGTTTGTCATCGGCTGTATTCTTGTCCTCCATATCCCGTTCCGTTTCACTCTTCTCCCTCATTTCGTGGATCACATCATCCAAGAGCTGCTCCCTTTCTCCGTACACTTCTGTCGTGCCGGAGGAAGCCAGCGATTTGGACACGTCCGCCTTTTGGTCCGCAATAATTTTGCGGACCCTATCGGAAATGGTTTTCCAGCTCGGCGGCGGTTTCAGACCGCTAGATTTGAACTCCAAGGACGTGAGAAAGACGTCGAAAGCCTTGTGGAACAGCTTCTGGTGCTTTCCCCATGGCGCCAGATACCCCCCAGCAGCGGGATGGACTTCAACAGAGCTATGTCGAGTTGCGTGGTGAGGCGGAACCGGCGCAAACACTTTACCTTTTCCTGTGGTGGTAATAGAGGGGTTGCGGTTTGACGTTGTCCACCTACAGTAACGGGCTGGTCGTCGCATGCCGCTTCTAGGGTAGGGGATGTTAATGCGTTGGAGGGAGTTGATGGTAGGGGTGACGGAGATGAAGGTGTCTGGAGAGACGGCGTCTTGTGTGCATCATTATTTGGTGGGGGAGATTTTGACATAAGGGAATAGAGACGCAGCGAAAGTTTGAAGACGGAGGACGGAGAAAGGATTTTGGAGGATTAGGGGTTTGAAGGCGGCTTTCAGCTGCCCATGTATGCACCAGATGGAGTTGGCGTTTGCTTGTATGGAATTTTGGCGCGCACTCTTGAGACGTAGCGGGAAGATTTTCGGTACCCTCCAAATCGTCTCCTTCTTAGAATTGCTATTCTAATTTCAATAGCGATTCGTGAGAACGGGACTAGACGCAAAAGTCACTATTCGGTACAGCTGTCCTGCGACGTGTACAATATAGTGATTTTGGAGTCACCACTTTTGTTTCGTAAAGTCTCTAATAGGTCTTGACAGCAGTTACTAAGCATCTTCGTAACACGGTAAAATGCCGTTTTCTGAGCTGTCAATGCGTAACCACACAGTCTCTTGATTGTTTACTGATAGTTGTGCCATACCTCTGTAACTGCGCAGCAACCCCCCTATTGGCATGTTGCGCCACATCTACGTCTATCTGCAGATTTCTACAAATATTGCGCAATTGCACACTATCTAATCGTCAAAACTTGAAGCCTCCATTACCCCTGCCCCTAGCTCTCTCCCAACTATGGATCTTGTGGCCAGTCGTTGAGTTAGGCGCGCTCTGCCACGGGCCCTATAGCGCTCCTGCGTACGCTTTCTTTTCTCTGTGTAATAATATGGATCCCTCCGGTTCGGTTTTTACCCCGTCACGGAGGGAGTGTCCACGGCAGGAGTAAAATTACAACACCACCAACCTCTCTTTGAGGGCGGCGGTTATGACTCCGGTAAACAGGCGAGTGGAATTGCGACCCCGGAGGGGATAGGGCTCAATGGGCGTACGCTTCCACCAGGCGGTGGAACGACCAAACTGGGGAGCGTGTGCTTCCGGCTCTCAAGAATAACCCGCACGGGACGATCTGCCTCTTTTTCCTCAGTTCTCGCCAAGGGGGTCGCTACCCCCTTTACTCTGGGGGCTTACTGCCTCGGCTCCTAAGTCCGTCGACCTCCGGCGGCCGGGCCGTACAGTAGTGATCCACTTCTACTTTGGATCACTACAGTAGAGTGTAGTATAACGACCGGTGTGCGCGCGGGGAGGTTATTAACCGTGCGGCCGTGCACGCTGCACACGTGGGCGGGTGTGCCCACGTGTAGGGAGCGCACGCGTTGACCAACCGGCCGTGGCGTGGCGCACGTGTACAGTAGCACATGTGTCGTCCGTGCGGTAGTCTACGCGTGTTACGTGTGCGCGTTAGCACACGTGTCGTCCATACGGTAGTCTGTAAGCAACATGCGTGTACAGTAGTGCACACGCGTAGTAGCAGCGTCCGTGCGGTAGTAGTAATTATGGCGCTAACTTTTTAATTGTGTACAGTACCCGGCACGCACTAGGCGGCAGGTACTGTACTACTGTACTGGGACAGGTGTCCGAGGCGTCCCTCTGAGGGGTTAAGACCTGACACCCGTCCCTACCGGTAAACTGGGGCAAGCTCGCCCGCGTCCCTTTCGCGCCTATATACGTCCGTTTCGGTTGTCTATCGCGCGCGCTGGCTTCTAACCCGTTACCGGTCGCTCCCGTTCACGCACCACGGGGCAACTGCGCGTAACCGGCCAGTGAGCCACTCCCTTTTCGCGAGCTCCTCCGATCGGTTCAATTAGCGCGTCGCGTCCACGCCGCGTGCTCCCTCGCTATAGCGTCCGCCTCTCACCCAACCCAGGGCGGAGAGGAGTTATCCCACATGGAGTACCTCTACTGTACTCCACCGGGGAGTAATCCGTACAGCGGCACACGTGGCTGTACTCCTGCCACCTGTACTCGCAGGCAGAGCTCGCACCACGTGTGCTTGCTGGGACTCCCCCGGCTGACACTCCTATTACACTAATTTCTATGCCCCTACAGTAGGACCTTCTAGTCTACTGTACCCTATCGGGACGTTATACGTGCGGTACACGTGGCCATTCCGCCGCCACCTGTCACCCGTGGCGGTACGTGTACCCCGTGTACAAGCTGAGTTATCCCCTGCCTTTTCAGTATCGTCTGATCACCCCTACGGGATCTCCCTCCGGGTCGTTACGTTTACCGACACTTGTCGGTACCCGTTCTCCCACACTCTGCAGTAGCTTCAACAATCTCAGCTCTTCGGTTCAAAAACTGGCGATAAAGATCGCCGTCATCCGCACGTAAAGGGTGTTTCAGAATGTACGCATTCGTCATGGCCAATGTAAACAGAAAAATAGGATCATAATTTCCTTCAGACCAACGAAACTTATTAGAAACAACCATCCAAAGCGTACACTGTCTGCCGAAATAAATTTCCACAATAGTTCTGTCTCCTGCAATTTTTCTGTTTGTATCCTCGTCGTGTCGACTCAAATCGCTCCCCCGAGGCTTTTGACAGGTGTATTGGCTCTGATGCTCTCTGCAGCCCCTTGGTAACCTTTGTCCATCAACACCGCCCAGTACCTAGGGTACTTGTCCGGCGCAGGGCCCGGCCCACATCAGGAATACTACGTTCATCAACTGATTTGCGCAATTGGGTCTTGTGCCACGCCAAATTCCGATAGAAAATATCTCTGTCTGCGGTCAAATCCGTGTAGTGCCTTGAGCAACCCACTGACAATCCCTTAGCCAGGATAGAAACCTCCGTTTTGAAACCATACAACTTATATTTTCCACTAAAATAGGCCTTACT